TTAACCCCTGAGCCATTTGCCCAGACCTCTTATTTTATATTCTGTCTTAAGAAATCTAAAAAACAAAACAATACAGAAATCTAAGTCAGCAAAATCAGAGTAAGTGTCATACATAAAGATGAATATGATGCTAAATTCTACAAGCTAATATGCCAAAATCTATAAAGTGATAGTTACTGTAGCTTGGTAGAATTATAAGAGCATTTCAATTTTTTAAAACCTATTTGTATTTTCTTAAAATAAAATAAATACTTAATAGTCACAAGACTTAAAATACTACAGAAAGATTTATTAAGCATATTGTTATCCGCTACTCAAAACATCAGCCTCAGAGATTGCTCGCACTGACTCTGCAAGTAGAACGGCATCACTTTGGGAGCCTGGAGCTGCCTGGTCCAGCTACCATTGAAGCACACCAGCACCCTGTTTCTACTTTTCTCTGAATCCAAAGCAGCGTTCAGGACTGGGGGAAGGTCTACTCACTGTGGCCTCTATCATCTCCAGCAATAGCTTCATCTATTGGTTCCAATAAACAATCCATTTAGTATGCTGGCCTTGGGAAACACAACTTTTCAGCACAGATGTTCGTCAGGAAAAGTCCTGCTTTTTATTAACCTATATTCAGCCTAAACTCGGTTTAGTCACCACAGCCTCTTATGATCCTAGTCCAAATAAAATTTCCTTACCCTGGTGTGGAACACCCTGCAATAAACTGCAAAAACATATTGTAAATAGTTCAGCTGGCAGGGGGCTCAAGCGAGCCCTATTACTCCTATTACTCCTTTATGAACTCAGTCTTACACACACACACACATACATCTTCAAATGGCATTTGCACAAGCAAAGGTTTGACCTATGTCCTAATAGAAGTGTCAAGGATTCAGCTGCAGCTAGCCTGCTTTCCTACAAAGGAAATCTAACCTGACCAGTGTATGGTCATTCCTATTATTATAGCTATAATCAGAGGAAGCACAGAAAACACTCATTCTATAATGTGACTGCTGACTCCCAAAAATTTGTGCTTCAGCTGCCATTAGCTAGAAATGAATTTCCTAAGATGTTAAAGAGTCCAAAAAAATTCAATTTACATGTATTAGAAATCTCCTTAAAGAAATACCCCTGCTGACTCCAGGCTGCATGAACTCAAGCGATAAACTAAAGAGGAAAGTACAAGGTCAGTCAGATATGAGGGCTAAGGGTCACTAAAAGGTGCTACCTCTTTAAATGGAATAAGCAGAAGGAAATGGCTTTAATTCAATTAGTCACGTGGGATAAATAAAATCATATGAGAAAAATTAATGACCTCAGGTCTCTTCCATCCATGGCTGTAGGTGAGGTGGTAGCCCCCTTTCCTTGAACATCTTGTGCCTCTCTTGTGTGGTCCAGGTTCTGCCCAGCTGCCTCTCCTGTGGCCAGCTGTCCGACCCAGCAGCTCTGGCTCTCAATAATCAAGCTCTAACAGCACCGGCCACACCAACGGGTCTGCACTGAGCGGATGACTGATTCCGCCTCCCCTGGGTTTCTGAGTGTAAAGGTAACAAGAAGGATGTAACACCTGCACCACACGTTACACATCATACGTGCAGATCTCCCGGTTGTGTCCTGGACCCAGGGTAACTGAATTCCCAGCACAAGGCAAGAAATGACCATGTTAACAAGCATGCCATCAGTGCTCCTGACCCCTATGACACTTGGGAGCCAGTGCATCCATGCACACTGAAGAATAAGATATTAAATGATTACCACCTGCTTAAGATTTCAGACATCAGGTTTTACATATTAAACCCTGCCCTATCTGGAATGCCAACTCAGATATATAACCACATAAGCCACATAAAAGGAAAAACAGTATAATAGCCAGAATAAACGAAAGTTGTAGAAAAAGAAATCTGACCTTAAATTAGTCACCCTTTATTTGTTACTAATGAAATGCTCATGGAATAAAGTTTAAAAAATGAAGTAGATTATTAAAGTAGGTCCTGTAAGCATTTAGAGGAAATTCAGCTTGTCATCTCCTGACTCACCAGGCAGTGGGCACTGACTTCCTGACCTGGTCCAGCCAGGCTTCTGAGCTGTCCTCCTGTATCTGCAGTGTGGTCCAAGTCTTTCCTGGTGGGGAAGGGTCTGCACCTCTGATTGTGACAGGGCCCCTTCTTGTTTTCCCCTCCTCTGATCATCTGCTTGCTTGCAGGCTCCTTATAGGCCTTTGTAGGAAGTTTGTGATTGACTTAGCCTTCAGTAAATTAATGGTAACCAAAACACTTAAAACAGAAATAAATCATAAAGTGATCATCTTTCTCTAAGGAACCTATCAGAACTTGTTACCACTGTGGTTTATCAGTGTAGCTCTTCAACAGAGGAAGAGCCCACATGACAACACTAGCCCTCCCAGCACCTCTCCTATCAGACCCAAGTCATATATCAACTTTCTGAATGCAGCAAGGTTCTTGGCCTCTGTTCATGCTTCTACTGCTGCTTCCAGTCTCTCATCTCCCTGCCTGCTTAACCCTCACTCACCTATACAATCTGCATGGACAGAAACCACACAAATATACACAGTAAGAAGATGCTTAAATATTTACCTGTAACTATCCACAAACTCACTTTCTGTACCCATTTGTAAGGAACACTGGGTGGCTTTAATACATCATACAATTAAAATTCTGAATGACATTTTGTATTTCCTCCCTTCCAGATGTAGAAATTATCTCAAGAGGGTGAACAAAAACTACCTAAAACCACACTGGTGAGTAAATGTCCCAGCTAGGATCTCAAGACTGAAACCCAGTGCAGGCTTCCTGGAGAGGCATGGAGGATCTGACTAGACATGAGATGGGGCAGATCATCCAATGGTGGCATGGAACAGGTAAGCAGAGATGCAAGGACTGGCTGTCACTACCATTGCCTTAGAAGGAGACAGAGTGGGGGCAGAAAGTAATGTGTAGACACAAAGGTCTCCTGTGTAGTTTAGAAAATTTGACTGGAAGTGGTATCTGGGGAAAGTAGCTGGCAGCTCTGAGTGGCATGAACTGTAGTGAGGCAAAAGGACGATAAGGTGCTGCAGCAGATGGATGGATAGATAGATAGATAGATAGATAGATAGATAGATAGATAGATAGATAGA